CCCTTCCCCCCCCCCCGGTCACGTGCATACGTCTTTATACCAGCTAAAGAACACTTTAACAAAAGATCATTGTTATGCAAATTATATAAAGATTTTTATATAAAGATTTTTATATAAAGATTTTTATATAAAGATTTGACTTATTATGCAAATGTTTTTGAAGTCATTTACAAAACTCGCAGGTCGTGTTTTATTAGGTCTAAAGCCACTCGCGCTGCGCGCTCGTGGCTTTAAACCTAATAAAACACTCCTGATCGTTCTTTAAATAGTACATAAACTTCGTTTAATCGTTTTGTACGTTTCCGATGTCTTTAATTGTGTAATAAAACAATTATTGGATCCCCCCCCCCCAACCCCCACCCCCCTCTTGCAGCTTCAACGTATTACTTTGAGCTAACCTGGACAACAGCTGCTGATCTTGAACCGCAGATAGTTTGTATTCGAGCATATCCAACTGTAGTACCATCAAAATCCATTCCTCTGTCAAAACAGATACAGACATTAACGTGTTAGGACATCTGAGCATCTACACAGATGGACTTGCGAGTGTGAATTTTATACATTAATCGAACGCAGGGCCGCAAGAATCGAACGCAGGGCCGCAAGGTCTATTCCTTGTAGGAATGAAAACTTTAAAACATCACACATACCTATAGATATTAGCAATCTTTATAAATATTATATACAAATCTTTATAAACACTATGGTGTTAAAAATGAAAGCGTAAATAGTACATACGTGATAAGTTGAACATTGTCGAAATGTTTGCCTTTGTGTATGTCAAGATTTTTTTTCTTGTATTCCAAAAAATTAATGAGAGCTTTCGAAGCATTTCTGCCAACAGTAAAGAGATCTCTCGTTGTCCACGTTTCTACTTTCACCAAAGCAATTCTTATTTTGTGGTATCGAAAAATCTAATGTGGACAAAAATAAAAATTAAAGCATATTTCTCTACTAGCTTCATGAAATTGTACTCATTACAATACCAATGCCTACAATTATGATTGGTACGTGCAGCTTGTAGGTGAGGAAGTGTGATTAGGGTTGGGCGATATTTCGATTCATCGCGATATTTTCAATCGCAATTATAGATCGAAGGTAGAAACTTGAGCCAAGGGCGGATTTTCATATTTTTAATATTTAACGTATATTTTTCATATTTAGCCTAACTTACAGAGTCTAGATGATTAACCAGTTGCTTAGCTCGTAATCCAGTCTTCTCTCCCTTCGATTGATACTAAGCAAAATAAATAGATTCCTTATAAGAACTGAATGGCCTGTGCTTTAAAACGTCATAATTAAGCATTGTTACCTACAGATGTCATGAAAACACTTAGGAACAAAGTTAATGACAATGGAACGAAAAAATAATTGCACTAGGTATTAATTGTACTGAAAAGCTATAATGTTCATTATTTGTAACTGAACTGACCATAGGCGTACCGGGCGGGGGGGGGGGGGGGGGGGGGGGGGGGGCGGTAGCCGATCAACAGTCGGGCAATTTCAGTTTGCAATTAAAAAAAATGGGACAAATTCTGTAAATTTTGTCTAAAATGAAGTCAATTTTTTGGCAAAATTTGTGATTTTTCGAAAATTTGTGGTATGTTCCGAAAAATTTTGGTTGTCCGGAAAATTTTTTTGACCCCTAAAATGGTACACTGACCGAAATTTTTTTGGCGACGGGGGGGGGGG